GGTCTTTTTATGGCCTCTGCCAGGTGTGTCTACATGATGACATCATAGGTTACCAGGCAACCCAGAAGCAGGCTGCCTAAATACTAACAATCACACCAAACCTCTTTTGACTTAAGAGTCCTCTTATTATTGTAAAGGATGATGGCCTATACTGTGCTAACTGTTATCTCTGGGGTAAGTTTTATCTCAAGCCCCAGATCAATAATACTCAGCATTAAAACTTCAGAGGTGAAGCTGAGACAGAAGCAAAACAAGAACCTGGTTAGGAAATGGGTACAGGATACTTGTTCTTCCAATCCCAAATGATACTTGTACTGAGCTGACAGCAGCACCCACAATGACAACAGTCAAAACAGCCTTTTCTCAAATGAGCAGAAATAAGGGTTCACTGAATTGTGAGGGGTAGGTATTAATGAGCTTTTAAGGACTCACTGGCCTGGCGCTCCTAGCAGGGACGCGCATGCCAGTGTCTCTGAAGCCTGGAATAAGCTCGGAATTTGTTCTATCCCTTGCTCAGGAGGCGGTGATGAGAAGCAGCCACCACCCTGGAGCTATACTACAAGCCATGGAGGAGCCTCCCTACTCTTCGAAGAAATGCAAACAGCGTGCCTTACACCAGAGCCTGCTCACCACACACGTATCAGGAAGATGCGTGTGTAATGAGCTTTTTTCTAAGACTCTCCCTCCCTGAGGAGGGAGTAACGCTTCACCTTCAATACAGCAAAAAATGAATTTTTTTGAATAGCAAAAATTAAACTCATGGAAATTCATGATTGGTTTGAGAGAATGCAAAAGCCTTCAAAGCCCTAGACATGGGGAGACTCCAGATTTCCTGGAGGTGCAGTTACAGAGCCACTGAGAAGCAGGGATGTGACCTTTGCCCAACATTGATCTCTAAGCTTTCATGGTGTCATAGTCGCAACTGCCTTCAGCACCATCTTAGTTTGTTTTTTTGTTTTGTTTTGTTGTTTGCTTTCCCCTCCTTATCTAGCTGTGTTGGGCATTGTATTATTCACGGGCTTTATAAGAACAAATAAAGCTGGTGTGCATTTTTCCTCTTAGAATTCATTAAGACAGTTGAGAGATTCCAATTATGGAAAAGATCAATAGATTTGACCACATTAAAAATTAAACAAGGGCTAGCAGCATAGCTCAGCAGTAGAGCACCTGCCTACAATCCCCCAGTGAGGGGCTGGGGACATGACTCAGACACTAGGCATTTGCTTACCACATACAAGGCTTTGGTTTCCATCCCAGGATATATACATACATACATACATACATACATACATATATATATATATATATTAACATAATATACATTATATAATTATATATAATATATATACACACATAAACAAACAGGCAAAATCCTTTGTACCAACTCCTAATGTGTGAAATTAGGAGTAACTTGGTAAGAATCCATGTGACATGTCAACCAAAAGATGGATGTCACTAATACTCAGACAGAGAAAGGATTTAGACTCAGTGGACCTAGAGTTTCAATTCTGTTAAACAAGAATGCAGGAGTAGCTAATGCCAGCAAGCCCTACACTTAAAATGTGATTTCCTCTCCTTTGTACAATGTTTTAGCTTTAGAAAAAAATAAGGAGTTGAATTCCCAGTAGGACAATAAAATGGGCAAAGGACAAATATTTAATAATGAAGTAAAAAATGTTACCCAAGTAGGGCAAATTAATGAAACACCGAGATAAGATGTTTGCTTAATAAATTGTCTATTTTTTTAGAAAAATTAATATTCTCTGTTGGCAAAGTTGCAGGGAAATGGGTACCTTTACACACAGCAGGTAGAATTGTAAATTAGTTAAGACTTCCCGAAGGCAATTCTACAGACATTACAAAAATGTATTATAAAATTACATATCCTCTGACTCACATCCTTGAATTAAAATTTATTTCTAAAAGTTTTCCTCAAGGGATCGATGGGAGATACGTGCAAAGATTTCTATATCAAAAACACAGGCCACAATATATTATATTATATATTTTATAATAGAAAATGTCTTTATAGTGTTTCAGAGTTATGTTAGGGTTTTTTAAACACATGGCTTATTGCTGTTTTTCTTCCATTCCCATTTTAAATGTAGAGGAATGCCTGAGCACCTATCAGGAGCATATGTCTCAGAATGGCTCAGTTGTCTGCTTTCTCACCACTGTGACATCTCACCTGGTGATCAGGCCAGGGGTAGCCTTGGGCATTCCTTCTTTCTTATGTCCACCTACCCAGGCAGTTTCTAGGAAGGAATTTCATTCCTCTTAGCCTCTCTTGCTACATGGCTTAGAAGATAGATGCAAATTGTTATACTCAGTAAAAGATCGCATCTGCCTCTGGTCCCTCAGCCTTCTGGATGCAAAGGTGGACATGGTTTTTATAGAGTTAAAGGTAGTTGAGACTCTGGTAGGTGTTGGAAACTGACCTCCAGTTCTCTGTAGGAGTAGTATGCACTTTTGTTTTTATTCTTTAGGATAGGGTTTCTCTGTGTAGCCTGGGCTATCCCAGACTTGCTGTGTAGACTAGGCTGGCCTTGAACTCACAGAGCTCTGCCTGCCTCTGTCTCCCTGAGTGCTGGGATTAAAGGCATGTGCCTCAATGCCTGGCTTGGAATGTACTCTCAATGGCTGAACCATCTCTCCAGTCCCAACATGGGTTTTATTAATTTGGGGTCACAGGGATAAATAATATCTTCAGGGTCACTCAGCCACCAATTGCAACATCTAAGCCACTGAGCAACCATACAATCTCCACACTGGACACACAAGAGAATAAATTTAGGCACCAATCTTAGAAGTCGAGTGTGATAAGGTCTTATGTAGAGAAGACAGAGAACAGACCCTAACTTTCTGTTTCTCCTTTGCCCATAATTCCTTCTATACTTGTAGCTAGAATGCTTCTGAAGAAACAAATAAGCCAGGGCAACTCCACATGGGTCTTTCTGCAATGGCTTCCCACAGCATCAGACCATCAATTCGTCAGGCATTTTTCCAGGAACCATGCCTCTAATTTCAAACCCTCATCCTGGCCCATAGATCTCTGTTTCTCTATGAGATATCTCTCAGTGAACATACAAATTAACAGATGCAAGGCCATTTCACAATGGTAATAGCTCCCTATGTAAAGTAATATTTTATCAACCAACTAATGAGGACCTCAAAATGCCCTATATCTATAAGACAGGGGAGTCTGAGCTTGAACTCACTCTTGGGCCCAGAGGTGGCCTTTCAGAGAGACTTCTGGGAACTTATCAGACCCACACAGTATTTGACTCTAGTTAATTCCATTCAGTTCAAGGATCAATGATGGCTGCCTGCTGCCTGGCTTTCAGATTGCCAACTACAGGGCTGTGAACAAGCCCTTTCCTTAGAGAACTTACAGCCTTGTTGTGGAGTATTCTTTGTATCTTGCTGTCAATAACAGGATAATCATAATAGTAGCTACTGTTTATTATATGTCTACAAGGAATAAAGTTCTTGTAAGGACCCGTGAGTTATTTACTTACTCATGTATGTATGTATGTATGTATGTATGTATCTATCTATCTATCTATCTATCTATCTATCTATCTATCTATCTATCTATCTATCTA